GATTTGTTCAATTAGTCTGTTGTCATAAATCAGAAATCAAGAAGTAGTACAAAGAGAATGATTAGAAATCATATCTCAGACGATATCTAGAATGGAGGAATATATGATCCCTTATCTAAGGACACGCGTATCTGATATGATCAGAGTTGACAGCGGCTTTGGAAAGCTACGATTGCAGATCAGGATCTGAAGTCATACGCAGAATAGTTGTTAGACTTATCCAAGTGGGAGACTGTTGGATTAGTGTCTAAGTCCATAACTATTTTGGTATGTACTTGACCCGATGGTGCATGGTCCTTTTGGGTTGCCTTCACCAAAGCAACTTGATAGGATGATTTATGGAGAGTAAGGATTAAATATGATTTATTAATATATTATGGGAATAATATATTAAAGGAGAAATCATATTGTTTAATTAATATTAGTCAACAATTAATTGGTAATTAGTTTTGTAACTAAAAGAGATTAATTAAACTTAAGGGACTGGAATTGTAATTATAAGATAATTGCAATTTGGGCCATGGATTGCCTTGTATTAAGGGATGGACGAATTCTAATGGGAAACCCATAAGGAAATCGTCCATGGGCTTAATTAAAGGAGTCTATGGGTTGCTTAGGGCTTAAGCATCCAAATTAGGGTTTCCTTGTTAGATAACCCTAATAGCCCAACTATATAAAGACCCCTTAAGGCTCAAAAACGTGGCTAAGCTTCTTGTAAGGGTTTCTACACGTTTTTGGCAGCCTCCATCCTTTCTCCTCTTCATCCTCTTGCTTATGGTGTTTGTAAGCCATTAGAGGAGTGACACTTGTGACTCTAAGCCTTCCAAAGTCAATACAAGGAGATTTGGGATTGTTGTTGCTACATAACAATCAAGGTAACACTATAAACTTATTCTCATGTTAATATGATTATATGTATGCTAGAATTAGGGTTTATAGTCTTGGATTCAAAGCATGTACAATAGAGAAGCCTAGATCCAAGCTTTAGGGTTTGTATGAGCACATAGGATGTCTTATGACCAAAACCCATCAGAAACATGTGTGTGTGTGTGACGCGCTGCTACACCGCCAGCTCTTTTCCCTTCAACGAAAAGGTACCTGAAACCAAAACCAAAACTTTAAGCACAAAGCTTAGTGAGTTCCCCCATCATACCACATACCATACAATATCGTCGGTATCTTTCAACCGATAACCTTTATCGGTATCTTTCAACCGGTAACCTTCATCGGTATCTTTCAATCGATAACCATCATCGGTATCTTTCAACCGGTAATCAACATCGGTATCTTTCAACCGGTAACTGGGGACTATTTCACCCCCTACTACTAGCATACAATCAACAGATATAATCATACAGTCAGGCATATCCGGGTACTGACCTACCCTTGGGTCCTAAGGACCACTGTCAGGGAAACTAATCCCTACCATACACATAACATACTACCTAGATAATCCTCATAACCAACATATAACCAGACCAAGATAATTATCACAAAGACCATTATCTTCTAAATACCCCTTTTTGGTGGGCCGACATTGTGGCCTTAGACCCACCCCTACTGGAAGGTAACTCACCTCAATATCGTGCAGTGTCTGAACTATCCCCGGCGCACAAGTCGACTCCCTACGACTCCTCGATCCATACACGACAACCTTTACGTCAACACACATCACATACAACCCTAAACAGGGTCCGTCAAAGTTTAGTCAAAGTCAACATTCAGTTGACCTGACTCGCCGAGTTGGCCTACCAACTCGTCGAGTCCATGCTTCTCTAATCCCACATAAAACCCTAGCTCCACTCGTCGATTCTAGCAAAAACTCGACGGGATCTCCTTCAATCATAACATCGGGACCATCTTCATCCAACTCGCTGAGTTCCTTCTTGAACTCGTCGAGTTCATCTCCAACTTAAGAACTTGTCCAGTCCATGACTCGTCGAGTTGTATGAACAACTTGTCGAGTCCCATAACTTCCAGGTCCCTTTTCGTGTCTAAACCCATAAGGGACTTCCTTCCTAACACTTGCCCATTCACCGAAAGGGTTTGGTGCATAATGGTCACTGACTCGTCGAGTGCCAAGAACAACTCGCCAAGTCAAACCTTGACCAATTCCATACAATCGATTTAAATGAGGTCTAACACACCAAAACCATAGATTTGGCCTCCTAATGTCCATTTTATACGTAAAGTTCCAAACTTGATGCACATGCATGGGGGTTTTTAGCTCAAAAATCCATATAAAGTGTCCTACAATGTGTATGGGGCTCTCATGGCCCTAAAGTTGGCACCTTTATGCCATGAGATCCCTCTTAAGGCCCTGATCTGAAGTCAAAACTCACTCAACACTTCCAAATCCGAAAAATGACATAAAAATCCATGGAGATCCCAAGTTAAAGATGAATAAACACATAGATGAGTCAAGACAAGGGCATTATACCTTGAAGCTGCTGAAAATGAAGTAAGATTTCCGGATCTACAAGCCTCGACTTGATTTCCAAACTCCTTTCTTCCTCCCAAGCTTTACAATCCACACAAGAACACCAAAAATGGCCTTAACTCACACACAAACAGCTAGGGTTCGATTTGAAGCTTTCAAGAGAGTGTTAGGGACAAGGTAGCTGAGTTAAGTTGTTTATATAGGGTGCAAACCCTCAGATTTAGGGTTTCACTTAACCAAAACCTACTCGTCGAGTCAGTCTCCTGACTCGTCAAGTCGGTCACTTAAAATGTCCGCAGCCACGTCCCTACTCGACGAGTTGATCCTCCAGCTCGTCGAGTCCCAGAGAAAAATACATATACTGAAGAAAACATATCATGTGTTACACTGTAAGACCCAGGGTTATGGCCCCGACCTGGCAAGAAAGACCATGAGGTTTCTTGTGGCATAATGGCAAGACTATGGTTGGCACATAGCACTCTTATTGATTATGGTATATGTATAATATGTATGGCTCACGGTTGTGTATGGAATGTATGGATTGTTGGATATGTATGGTATGTTGTATTTGGGAAACTCACTAAGCTTTGTGCTTATGTTTTCAGTTTATGTTTCAGGTACTCTAGTTTTCAAATGAAAGAGCTCGGGCGATCGTAGTGCATACATCCGTGTTTTTCGCAATATGTGATCTTTGGGATTGGACTCTGATAATCGTGTTAATTAAAATGTTTTTAAATAATTAGAACAAAGTTACAATAGTGTTTTGATTATAATAAAAATGAAATTTTTACCTTTGATTTTTAGGTTGTTACACAAAAAAGGGAAACTGCATGATATAGCAACTTGACTGTATTTATTTGTGCATTTTAATATCATCCTACTTTTTTTTTTCTATTACAACATTGTACTTTTTAAAGTGTAATGTTTTAACATGAAGAAATGAAGATATAAATAAACAATTTAATGAAAATAATTTGCTATTTTTTGAATTTAACCAAAGTTATATGTATGAAATAGCAACTTACTTTCATTTATTAAAAATAAATAACAACTTACTTACATGTCTTTTGGTTATACCCCTTCCACCTTCCATACACATACATTAACGGAATATACCACAAATATTGTTTATTTTTCTATTACTATAGCATTGTAATAGAAAAAAATTAAAAACCACAGAGCTAAAAAGATCAAGAGTTGAAGTACCTCTGATTTAGCAGCATTGTGTTACTCAGTCGCGTCCAAAGCTATTAGTACCTCATAAAAAATAAATAAATAAAAATAAAAACATCGACCCTAGATTTTTAATGTATAACCATAAATCTAGGGTTGATGTTTCTTTTAGGTCTTCCAAATTCTTCTGTACTGAATATAAAATAAAAGAAAAAACACATTTTTAAGTTGGCAAAGAAGAGTAGAAGATAGAAGACCTTCAAGTGGTTAAATGTGTTTTTGCTTAGAGAATTGAGGAGGGGAAAAGAATATAAAAAAAATATGTTTTTAAATATAGAAGACCTTTGAACTTGAAATATTTATATGATGAGGAGGGGAAAAGAATGTAAACAAATATGTTTTTAAATATAGAAGACCTTTGAACTTGAAATATTTATATTTATATTTAAGAATATGTTTTTAAATATAGAGAGATGAAGAGGGAAAAGAATGTAAAAAATATCCTTCTTAATAAATGAAGGTTTTTTTTGCCACATGTCATCTTCTCATTTATTTGGACACATGACATTTTCTTGAATTTTTGAATTTTTTATTTTCCACTTGTCATTTTATTGTATTTTTCATTTTATTAAATTAAAATTTCACATTTAATATGTAAAGTAATATATGTAAGGTATTAATTAGAAAAGATTTATATATGTAATGTATTTAATATATTAAAGTCTCATTAATTTTAATAATTTAATTTTTTTCTCATTTTTCTTATAAATTCAAACTTCTCAAATTGTTAAAATTTCATATTTATTTTTTTTAAAATAAACTCATGTAATACATAGATCTCACACCTAATGTTTTTAAATATAGAAGACCTTCAAGTGGTTAAAAGTGTTGTTATTTAGAGAGATGTGTTTATAAATATTGAGATTTTTTAATATGTTTCCTAAAAGCATATATAAGAAACATTAATTACAAAAAATATTATCATAATTAAATATAAAATGTATTTATTATGGAAATTATTAATGTATCTCACATTTAATTATGGTGATAATCTTTTTAATTAATGTATTTCATATTTAATTATGGTAATATTTGTTATAATTAATGTTTCTAATACATGCTTTTAGGATTAGGACGCATGTCATAAATATTTTAAACTTACTTGAAGCAAAAAAAAAAAAAAAAAAAAAAAAAAAAAAAACATTTTTAAATATAAATATATATGTTACTAACTTACTATGCGTATAAATATTTTAATTATAAAAAATATATATTTAAATGTAAAAAATTTGTTTTATATGTATAATTTTTTTTTTTCAAAAGGTTTTTGTGAAGAAAATCCATTATAATAACATTCATTGAAAAACGATAATTGTCAATGATAATATACAACAAAAAAACGATAATTATCATGATATCTCGATAACAACCTTTACCGAAATTAATATTTGGGGACTATCTCGAATAATTTGTTCAAGCTTTTGTCCCCTTAGCCCTCAACACTTCAAACAAAACCCATATCAAATTCATCGAATCCAATTTGTTCATCATCACATCGATCAATTGCATACACCGTGAAAGCTTTTGGTAATATTTCCTGATATCAGAATTCTTGATTGTTCGATTAATGTTACGTACATGTCTTAAAGCAACAATTACGATTCGGAATTTCCTGATTGGAATTCAACTCCACTGTTTGAAACCTAAATCGCTCAAATTCGTTTCCAGGTGTTGGTGATTTTGATTTTACGGGAGCAGATCGTATATATATCTACTAGAATCAACCATGTTTACGCGAATTTTCGGAAAACCTAAGCAAGAAGCTAACGCTGTAGCAACATTAGATAGATTAAATGAGGTACTTCCCGATAAATATACGTTTTTGTTGTTCATCAAATGTATATATACTTTGTATGTGTGCATATTCGGTGTGGATCATGAATTTGGAAGATCTAAATTGTTCTGGCCGTTTATATTGTCACTCTGTTTTTCTTTACTTTATTTTGAAGTATTATTGATGCTATACTCTTCTTGTCGAATTCAATTTGCGTATGTTGTTTGATTTCGCTGTGATATCTTGCCCTAGGGAGAACAGTGATTTAGGGTTTATATCATCTTTGTACATGTCGTTCAATTACTGTTATAGGATGGGGTTGTCTTTCCAGAATTTGGATGTCGTCAATATGTTGCATGAAGATTGCTTAAAACTGTGTTGCTTACTCTTCTATTTCATAGTAAAGTGTACTAAAGCTATTTTGTATTGAAGTATTTTCTGCAGAAGAGTATGTAGATGGATAATGTAATTAAGCTTGTAGGATGAAAAACACAACAGTCATTTGATTGCTTATAAATGTCTTCTGTAACTTGATATTTACTTTCCCTTTTAAGTTTCTTCAAAGATAGTATGATATGATATCTAGGTAAGAATACATAGGTGGTGTTAAATGGCAATGCTGTTAGTGTTTCCTTGTGTTTCTGCATGAAGAGAAAGGGTAGAGAAAATTTCTTGTGTTTAATCTTTATCATTGTGGGTAAGCACATAGGAAAAATAATGGTGTGTTTAATTTATAATTGTTCAATGTTAGTAGACTAAAAAATAAGCATCGATTCGGAAAGAGTTTATAGAGAATAAGTGATTTTATTTCAAAATCAACATATAAACTACAATATCAATGAACCTAAATCTCATGAAAGATGGAAACTAGCATATGCAAAGAACCTAAATCTCCTAAATTGAAAATTAGAATATGATAGGGAATCTACATAGGAAATAAGTGGGAGAGGGAAATATATATTTCTATCAAAAAGATATCTTTATAACTCTTGGATTCCATGTGCATTGCGTATAATTTGGTTAATTTAGGGATATTAATGCTGAAGGTCTAAGGACTTAATTGGGACAAACTTTTTATTTTTGAATATTGCAAATCTTTCATGAAATATTTTCACTTCATGTTGCATTTTACCAAGGCAACATTAGATGGAATTGACCTCAATCTCTTGGCATTTTTGTAAAGTTATATAATTCTTTGTATAAAATTATTTCATGTAGTAATAGGATGAACATGAATTCATTAGTGTGTATCATGTCTATAAAGTAGTGATTAATATATAAGATTACTTATTCATGTAGGATAATGATTAGTAAAAGATACAATAAATATGTCAAAAACCAAAACTTTAACCAATGGCATGATTTTCATGTTTTTTAGAAACTCTTACTTCTCTTATAATCTTATATATGAAACATTATAGTTATTGATTGATCTTAAAATTTGTTATGCTGTTAATACATACATAAATGTGTGCTATGTTTTTTTTTTAAATAGATTTTCCATAGAGAAGGTGTATATAATTATATATTGAGTTATCGACCTCATTATGCTGCATAAATTCACAGAATAATCTAGTGTTGCATCAAAATTTGATTGTTGAACAAAAGGTCATCAAACCAATTAAATTTTTATGTTTTATTTTTTATTTACAGACACTTGAAATGCTTGAGAAAAAAGAGAAAGTGCTTTTAAAGAAAGCTGCTGCAGAGGTGGAAAAGGCCAAAGAATTTACTAGAGCTAAGAACAAAAGGGGTACACCTTTTAAATCCCTTTCAATTTCATATTAAATTATTAATTAGGGTTAATGCTAAACAATGTTAAAAATTAAAAAACTATGCCATTTTTTCTACTTTATGTCACTAAAGGTTTAATTGTACCATTTTCTACCTTAAATTACGGGTTTTATGCAGAAAAGTCTCATTTTGGAAAATTTTTTGATAAAGTCCTAAAAAAAGTTTTAACAGAAAAGTCATTATTTAATATTTTGCCCAAATTAACGAAAAAGTCATTATTTTTATTTTAACAGGAAATGACAGATTATCGTGTCAAATTAAATAATTGGGATTTTTCTTTTCAAAAAAAAAATTTAGGACTTTATCAAAAAATTTCCCAAAATAATGGCACTTTTCTGCATAAAACCCCTTAAATTGCATATCTATTTTTCGATATTAAGAATAGAATACAATATAATAATAATAATAAATTCTGATGTCAAATGGTTACAATACTAAAAAAACAACATATTTTGTTACCCTTTTCATAGCATTGACCTTTGACCCTATTACTTACACTTAAATACTTGATTAAATCCAGTATAATTGTAGTTTACATTACTTTTTATATTGTTTTAAAGTAAAAATAATTATATTTTTCATTTGGATTTTAAATGTTATTCAGCTGCAATACAATGTTTAAAGAGGAAAAGGCTCTATGAACAACAAATTGAACAACTTGGAAACTTCCAGCTACGTATTCACGATCAGGTGATTATTTTCCACCAACATCTCTTCCATTTTTCAAGTTTTTTAAAATTTCAAAAATCCTTTACTCAAAAAAAAAAATCAAAAATTTAATAATCATAGTATTGTTTGAACATGAATATATCAGATGATTATGCTTGAAGGTGCAAAAGCCACCACAGAAACTGTTGATGCTTTGAGAACCGGTGCTTCAGCCATGAAAGCCATGCAGAAATCAACGTCAGTTATATTTTACAATTTTACAATTTTATTTTTAAATTAAATTTTTCACAATTTCTATTGGGTCCCACACACCTTGTCATGCATGCCATGCAAACCAGGACAACATGTACTGTGTTTGACATGTATTGAACTGTGACTGATTGATGTAAAGTTGTCAGTGGAACACAAATTTCAATTTCTTGTCCCATCAAAAAAGTTAGAGACATTACTCTCCTTGTATCTCTTGTATGTGCAAAAAGACATGAATGCCCTTCTTATTAATAGCCCTAGAAAGCTTGTCAAGTCTCACTGACAGGACATGACAAACTGTACTGTGTTTGACGTGCATTGGATTGTGACTGACTGTGGAACACAAATTTTAATTTTTTGTCCTGTCCAAAAAGGTGAGACAGGACTCTCCCTTTATTTCTTATTTGTGCAAAAAGACGTAAATGCCCTCGTGAATAATAGCCCTAGAAAGCTTTTCAAGTCCCACTAACAGTACAAGACATGATAGATTGTACTGTGTTTGGGACTGGGAATGGGACCGGGACTGACATCAATCATGTCATGGAATCTTTGTCTTGATGCCGTGTGTGTGAAAAAGACGTAAATGCCCTTGTAATATGTTTCACGTGAACAGGAACATTGATGATGTTGACAAGACAATGGATGAGATAAATGAGCAAACTGAGAACATGAAACAAATCCAAGAGGCATTGTCAGCACCCATTGGTGCAGCTGCTGATTTTGATGAGGTGGCATCGTACTTTCATTTTTTTTTTTAATTACAATATTACCCTTTTGATTATTTTATAATGAACCAATTGTGTACTTTGATAAATCTATCCACAGGATGAATTGGAAGCTGAGTTGGAAGAACTTGAAGGAGCAGAGCTAGAGGAACAGCTTCTCCAACCAGCCACCACCGCCCCCGCCGCTCCGGTACATACTCCAGCGGGCCGCCAACACGCACGACCACCGCCCCAAAAGAACACGGCTGAGGAAGATGAACTTGCTGCATTACAGGCAGAAATGGCACTTTAAAACAAAAAGGTTGGTATTTCCTATGATCAAAAATGAGAAGAGCATTTTCGTCTTTTCGCGAAAGATAGTCCATGTCCTACCTTTTTGGTGAGACAAAAAGTGCAATTATTGTCTTTTATGATTAGAATGAGAAGGGCATTTATGTCTTTTTGCAAAAGAAAATCCATGTCCTACCTTTTTGGTGAGACAAAAAGTGCAATTATTGTCTTTTAGGATTAGAATGAGAAGGACATTTATGTCTTTTCACAAAAGAAAATCCATGACCTGCCTTTTTGGCGAGACAAAAAGTGCAATTATTGTCTTTTAGGATTAGAATGAGAAGGACATTTATGTCTTTTCACAAAAGAAAATCCATGTCCTACCTTTTTGGCGAGGCAAAAAGTGCAATTATTGTCTTCTACGAGAAGGGCATTTACATCTTTTCGCAAAAGATAGTCCATATCCTACCTTTTTGGTGAGACAAAAAGTGCAATTATTGTCTTTTATGATTAGAATGAGAAGGGCATTTATGTCTTTTCGTAAAAGAAAATACATGTCCTACCTTTTTGGCAAGACAAAAAGTGCAATTATTGTCTTCTATGATCAGAATAAGAATGGTATTTACGTCTTTTCACAAACGAGAATCCATGTCCAAAAAGTGCAGTTATTGTCTTATTGATATCAGTGAAATGTGTGACAACCTAGTATGTCATGTCATATTAGTTTCAGACAAATGAAAAATCAAGTTGTAATCATCAAAATAAAATCACTTTTTGGGTGACTAAAAAATATATATAATTTTTGTCTTATTAACATCTTTTGGAGTCGAGTGCATGCCAAACGCAATATGACATATTCTGTCTACTTCTGTTCTGTGTATTTTAATGTAAAAGGAATTGAAATAAGAATATAATTTGAAATGGTTTTAAGAAATTATTGAAGATGTGGATTTGATGGCAGATGGAGGGGAGTGGAGATGATGCATATAAATGAAGAAAGTGAGGAAATGATGAAAAGTTTGGTTGAACTTTATCTCTTGTACATTTGTGATATTAAACTTGAATAACATGTTTGAATTTGGAACTTGGGAAAAGATCGATTACATGGATTCAAAGCGGTGCATGTTACTTGGTATATGAAATTGAAATTCTACATCTTTTTTAGGTTACTTGTTTCATTGTTTTAACATGGGCATTAGAAGTAATTAGGTGATAATGTGATGAGATGCTTGGTTTTTTAATGGAGGCATTCAAATAAAGTGTGGAAAATTAAAATAAAAATTTTCTATAGTGGCATTCACTAATAAACGCCATTTCAAAGACGTGAAACTCTATATGCACATGTTCTTCATAGCAACGATCACAACAATAAATGGTGAATGGAGTTGAAGAATATCATCGTCTCTATAAAATGTACATAAAACTTCTTCGAATGTAGATAGATTAATTTTAGAGGCATGTATTGGCTTCTCATACGGTTATATTTGTCTCTTGCAAATCTCAACTTTATTTTAATTTTTGTTTATCAGCATACGATTGGTCTGTTGGTTTGTGTAATTTGAATACCTGTGTATGAATCAATAGACATGATTTGACAAATAAAAACTGATTTTATTTTTGGGGTTTATGTTTAATGCACAGTGATTACATAGTTCATTATGTATCCTCTCTTAGAAGGCTATATAAATCATCAGTTTTAACATACAAATATATATATATATATATATATATATATATATATATATATATATATATATATATATATATATATATATATATATATATATATATATATATATATATATAAAGACAAAGAGAGAGGCTCCATTGTGATTAAAAATAAAATAAAGATATTGAGATTCAACCTCAGCCACATATTTCATATCTGCCGCTTTAACCCTCTGGCGTACCGGCGTGGCAGGCATGTTATAATCATAAGTGATTATATAGCGTTGTCCGTTCCTTTCTTCTTCGTCGCCATCCTCACCACCACAACCACTACCACCACCTCTAACATTATTGTCACCTCCGTCATTTATATCATCGTCACCTCTGCCACCACCACCTCTTCTGCCACAAACGGTCATAATCATATATGATTACGAACATGCATATATGTATAATCATTTATGATTAAACATATACATATAATAATGTATAATCATATATGATTATACCGATCTGTCATATAATCATTTATGATTAGGCATACCTCATTGCTACCAACATGCTGGAGCGTTAGAGCGACAAATGAGAAATATGTAAGATGGGGTTGAATTTCAAGATCTTTACTTTTTTATAATCTCAAGTGAATCGTTCCCTACATATATATATATATATATATATATATATATATATATATATATATATATATATATATATATATATATATATATATATATATATCTTTGTCATTTCTCAAAGTAAATGACACATGTATTATGCTTTGGATTCTTCTCAGTTTGTGCGGGTAGTTTGCCTTGTGACTAGGGCTGTAAACGAACTGAACGTTCGGCGAACCGTTCATGAACTGTTCGGCGGGAAGTTCGTTTATGTTCGTTTATTTAATAAATAAACGAGCACGAACAAAAGTTATCGTTCGTTAAGTTAAATGAACGAACATGAACAATGGTCTCGTTCGTTCATTTATGTTCGTGAACGTACGTTTATGACGTTCATTTACATTCGTTTATGTTCGTTTGTTTAATTTTATTTATATGCATTTATATATATATATATATATATATATATATATATATATATATATATATATATATATATATATATAATATTGCTATATTATATGTTCGTTTATGTTCATATATGTTCAATTGTGTTTTTTTATCTTTGTTTTTATGTTCGTTTAGCATGTTCACGAACATAAATGAACGAACATGAACAAGGTGATTTGATAAACGAACGAACATGAACAAGAATATCTCGTTCGTTAATCTGTTCGTGTTCGTTTGTTGTTCGGCTAACTTAAACGAACGAATATGAACAAGACCTTGTTCGTGTTCGTTTGGTTCGTTTACAGCCTTACTTGTGACTCTAATTTACTCACAGAAGTGGCAAGTTGAATCATTTGTTGCTCCAAAGTCTTGATACTGGCCTTGGTCTTATTTTGAAATGATAGAGTACTTGTGACTAAACGTTTGACAATGTCTTCCGAAGACATTCCTGAACCGCTTGAACTACTTCCTTGTTGCATGTTTTGAGGTTGGAAATGAGATTGTTAAGGAGGTTAATGGGACTAAAAATTTGGTTGGTGATGCATTTAATTCTAAAATAGAGGTCTAGGTTGATAAGTTGGTGGCCTTGGCTGGAAATTCGTATTTGGATGATGCCAATTTTGATTGCCTCTTGGTGGAAAATTGTCTTATTGACCATGAAATCTCATAGCTTGAACCTCTTCCATGTCTTCTTGAAACATAGGACACATATCAGTAGGGTGAAACATCCCAAAAATACAAGCCAAAAATTTTGTTTGAAAACATTACTAAAAACCATAACATCCAAATATCATATAAGAAAGCCATAAGTTGTGTGTCACAAAATGTCATAAAATATGTCTCATATCAAACTGATGTCATGATCGTGTCAAAAATATCAGAGTCTAACTCCCAGGCTAAAACTGTGGTGTGTGTTATGCCATCATCCCGAGCCCTTCCCCTTACTAGCTGAAGTACCTAAAACCAAAACGGAAACTGTAAGCACAAAGCTTAGTGAGCTCCCCCAAACTACCACATACCATGCAATAACAAATAAAACACATAATAGGCCTTGCCTGCTGCATCAGACCGAAGTCCGGAACTGACTAGGCCTTGCCCACTTCATCGGACCGAAGTCTAGAGCTAACTAGGGCCTCTCCCTCTGCATCGGACCGAAGTCCGGAACTGACTAGGGCCTTGCCCACTGCATCGGACCGAAGTCCGGAACTAACTAGGGCCTTGCCCACTGCATCAGACCAAAGTCTGAAACTAACTTGGGCCTTGGCATCTGCATCAGACCGAAGTCCATAACTGACTGAACATAGCATAACATAATCATAACATATAACAATAACACATATACTGCATACTGCATCGGGCCAGCAGCCCGGAACACATAACACATAGACATGCCTGAATCACAAAGACATCAAGCATATTGAACTACTGCTATCTAAACTGGCCGACATTGTGGCCGTAGATCCGTTCCTGCTAGAAGGAAAAACTCACCTTGAAGAACTGACTGCTGAGATACTGAGCGGGAAATGTCTGACTGCTGCTCCGACAACTCCCCGGCTACAATTCCCATAAAGACACTTAGTCAAAACTGATAACTAATCTTAGGGTAAAGTGACTATTTTACCTCTGGCTAAAGTCAATATCCTAGTCAAAATCAACTTCCAGTTAACTTGACTCGCCGAGTTGGGCCGCCAACTCGTCGAGTCCTTATCCTTTCTTCTACCCCCCTACCGGGCTCTACTCGTCAAGTTTAGCAAGGACTCGACGAGTTCTTCTTCTAAAATTCATCGGGTCAATCTTCATCCATCTCGTCGAGTTATTTGAACAACTCGTCGAGTTCATCTTCATCATATGAACACGTCTAGACTATGACCCGCCGAGTTGTACGAACAACTCATCGAGTCTGTTCTTGTGGGTAAGAAGATTGCCTTGGACTCGCCGAGTGTGTTCTTACACTTGTTGAGTCCCATGATTTCCAGATTATGGCTATGTTTTAATACGTCGAGTCACTCCTCCGGACTTGTCTAAATCCCTGCTATCACTCAGCTGGGTTTCTTTGAACCACAACAGATTGGGGACTCAAGCCCCAGACTCGCCGAGTTCCAAGAACAACTCGTCAAGTTGCCTATTGACCAAGTCTATAACTCGATTTTCTGGTGTACAACTCTCATCCAAAAGGTAGATCTAGGCTTCTAAGGTCGATCTAACAATTAAAGTTATATACTTTACGTGCATGCATATATCATTGGTGCTTAAAAGGCCAAAAATGGAGGTTTTAGCATGCATGGGGTTCTCATGGCCCTAAAGATGGCACCTTTATGCCATGAGGACCCTTCAAGGTCCTCGATTTGATGGTGAATCGACTTGGGACGTCCAAATCCCAAGAGTCAAGATTCTTAGCCCAAGATAACCATAAGAAGATATAGGAAATCACAAGTCAAGAGGGAAGCTTTATTACCAGAAAGTGAGGGGAAGGTGATGTTGATTCTGGATCTGAACTCTTTTCTTGAAGTCTTCCCTCTTCCTCTTCTTCACCTAACTTCAAACACAAAAGATATCATAAGAAATGGCACTCAAATACTCACAATACACAAAGGTGGTGACTTAGGGTTTTCTGGATATTGAGGGGGTAACAAGGGAGGCCAAAGGGGCCTTATGCTCCTTAAATAGGAGAACCAACCCTTGAAATTAGGGTTCTTATCAGACAACACCTACTCGCTGAGTCGGTCTTCCGACTCGTCGAGTAGGTTACTTATTTCCCCGACTCGGATTTGTTCTGACTCGACGAGTTAGGCCATCAACTCGTCGAGTCCAAGAGTGAAATTATAATATTAACTTAAGTTAAAAGCATACATGGAACCGGGTGTTACATAGGGTGTCCTACTTGGGTACAAACACCATAAGGTCTTAACTGTTGGTTGCACACCCTTGTCTTTAGAAAGCATCATCACAACTTTAGTCAACTTAGAAAGTTAACTATCGATCTTTAGTGTGGAAATTTCTTTCACCCCTCTTGGTGTATCACTGTACCATTCCTCTTCTTGAGTTATATGTTTGGACTCTTCTGCCATGTTTTTTTTGTAAGAGCTTTGATTTCAGTAGGAATTTTGTCAGCTATTGATCTATCACTTGATGCATTGAGCAATCTTATCTCCTAAGCTAACATCCCTTCACCAAAATATTGCAGCAATTGGTATTATAAAATTCCATGCTTTGGGCATCTTGAACATAATTTCTTAAACCGTTCTCAATATGTGTGCAAAGCTTCTCTTTTCTGTTGCTTTATACCAATGATTTCCCTGCATAAAGTTGAAGCTCTCATTTCTAGGAAATACTTGTCCAAAAATATCCATGCAAGTTCATTTCATGTTGTAACCAACCCCGTCAGTAAGTCATATAACAATTCCTTTGTTGGACCTTGTAAAGCAAAGGGGAATGCCCTAAACTTGATTTGATCTTCAATGACTTCATGTGGCTTCATTCCCACACAAACAACATGAAATTCCTTAAGGAATTTGTGTTGGTCTTCATTCTCAAGACCACGAAATGTAGGTAACAAGTGAATGTGTCCAGATTTGAGTTCAAAGTTTATTGTTGTGGGATAAGTGATTCACAATGGTTGTTGGGTAACATCTTGTGTGGAACATTATCGAAAAGTTTGTTCAGGAGGTGGAACAGGAGGACTTTGATTTCCTCCTTGGTGATTGCCCTCTCCTCCTTCCATGGTAGGAGTATGGATGGAGGTTTTATTGTTCGGTGGAATGAGTGGGTGAAAATGGTGGTGTAGTTGAGGATGTGGTTGAAAGGTTTGATGAAGAAGTTCCACATTGTTGTTGTTTCTCTAAAAGTCTAGCTTGCTTCCTTCTTTGCTTCACATATTTCTCAATCTCCAA